CAAGGAGATTTCTTAAAGAAAATGACGACACTTAAATATTGACCTCAGACAAAGGTAACAAGACGGTAGCTATGAACAAAGATGACTAAAACCAAAAAATGAAGGACATATTAAAGGATATGAACACATACAGGACATTAAGGAAAGACCCCACCTCTAGACTACAAACAAAAAATAACGAAATAGTGGACAAACTATTAAAAATGGAACTTATCTCAAGGATCGAAAGAAATAAGTTGACAACCACCACAGCTTTACCACCACGAATATATGGACTACCCAAAATTCATAAAAAGGGAACCCCTCTACGACCAATCTGCTCCTCCATCGGATCACCATCCTATGCACTATGCAAATACATAATTGACATATTAAAAAACATAACAATAGACTCCAAATATAACATAAAAAATTCAGAAGAATTCAAAGACAAAATCAACAACACATATATTGGCGACGATGAAAGATTAATTTCATTTGACGTAATTTCATTATTTCCGAGTATACCGACAGATCTAGCACTGGATATAATTAAAAACAAATGGACAATAATACAAAAACACAGTAAAATACCGCAAACAATATTTATGGACATAATAAAATTTTTTATTCAAGAAAACAGATATTTCAAATTTGAAAACAATTTTTACACACAATTAAAAGGAATGCCTATGGGATCGCCAGCATCGCCGGTCATTGCAGATATTGTAATGGAAACTCTCCTGGAAAACACGTTAGAAAAATTAAGACAACCTCCAAGATTACTGACAAAATACGTAGATGACCTGTTCGCAATCATTCAAGAGGATGACATTAAAACTACACTGACCATGCTCAACTCTTTCACCAATAATATAAAATTTACAATGGAACTAGAAGAAAACGACCAAATACCTTATTTGGACTCAGTAATAATTAGACGTGGAAATCGATTAAAATTAAAATGGTACAAGAAACCAATTGCGTCCGGACGAATCATCAATTTGAACTCCAAACACCCAAAACAAATGATAATAAATACAGCTAGAAGCTGTATACATAGAATGCTCAAATTTTCAGACACGGATTACCACGAAGAGACGGCCCAGGAGATAAAATCAATGTTGGCAGACAATGATTTCCCAAAACACAAATTAAAAACCTTATTATCGGAACACAAAACAACAAAACAAAATAGCGTTAAAAACAATAAAAACAAAAAATATATGTCAATTACATACGTCCCGGCATTATCCGAACGTGTAGCGAAATCGGAATGCTACGACAAAGAAAACATAAGTATCGCACATAAACCGGACCACACATTTAAATCTATATACAACAGAACAAAATCAAAGATAAATGAAATTGACAAAAAAGACGTAATATATAAAATACCGTGCAACGGCAACAACAACGAAATATGCAACATGATATATATAGGAACAACAAAATCTAAACTAAAAACTAGACTAGCACAACATAAATCGGACTTCAAAGCTAGACATCATACGAACGCGCAAAAAACAGCACTCATGCCCCACTGTGCAAGAGTAATCACTCACCGAACTTCGAAGAGACGAGTATTTTATCTCAAGAACAACACTATGCCAAACGATTCACCATAGAAATGCTACATATCATAAAAACACCTACAGACATACGGATGAACTACAAAACGGACACTGACAATTGCGCTCATTTATATAGACACTTACTAGGGAAAGAAAAATTAGTTAACAACTCCACGTCACCGGACGCAGACGTGTAAATTAAATGTATGTCAAATGTTAATTGTTTCTGTTTGTAATTATTTTATAGTTGTCCTGAAGACGGTTGCCGAAGAGCAACCAAAATATATTGACAAATCACAAAAATTAAAATAATTTTGTGTTTTTTTTCAACATCCTGACCTCGAGCCGGATAACAATTAAGAAAAAAATAAACCCAATAAAAAAAGAATTGAAATTAAACAAAAAATTTAATTTAAAATAAACTTAATTTTTTCCTCTTTTCTTTAACCAAACGAATCGTTTTGATATTTAACTTTCATTAATTAATTTACATTCCCTTGAAGCCCATTTAATTGACGTGCTCCGCAAAATACGATTGGAGTGGATACAAGTGGATTCTCCATGATAAATTCGAATTATTTAAGATTGTCGTATTACTCAGTTGTAGGTTTGCATGTCGGTGTTTGTTTGTACATTGTGATTTTAATTAATTAATTTGGCAATTTTTAATCTGGATGATATGGTTGGCAAAGGCGCCCACCAACAAAAAAAAAAACAAAGATAGGATACGGCCGATCGCACAAGCGCGACTAAACCGTTTGCCAAGTAAGGTTAGACAATGTATACCACGCGGATGCTGCCTATACTACAAATTAGTTAGATAAGAGTGGCTTAGGTGGTTATCCTCCTGAATGTGAATGTTGGTGCCCATCTTTTAGTTATCCGGCAGATTGGACCTGCTGAAGGGGTGCTTCTGAGAACACACACCTCGATGTGAATACTCGTGGGACACAACCTAATGGAACGCACTATTAGACACTGCACTTGTACCGGGGAATTTCTTGTTCATTACACATACGTAAGATTTGCGCTCGAAAATGGTCTGCTGATGATTTCTTCAGCTCCCGTATTCAAAAATAATGCCGATGAGTGGATCTGGCTGCTGCAGTGGCAGCGATGCGGGTCGCACAATTGCGGCAGCGCTAGAAGGGTCAAATTATTCGACCTACAGGGAACTGTCAGTTTAGCACAAACTTTGTGCAATTGCAATTACTTTGATAGTGTCAGCACAATCTTTGATAATTGTGGATGAAACACACACATTTACTTGATTATTTTAGTGCACTTTGAATTTTGGAGAGCTTGGTGGTCTAACTGGTTCGACGGTTTGAGAGAGAAGAACGTGGCCGGAACCAGGAATTGGTCAGCTAGGCTAGCTGGAGGAACTTCGTGGCAGCTGTTGGCTGAGAGGTGCCAAAAATTAGCTTTTCAAAGAACCTCTCAGCTGCTCCCATTATCGAATGCGTTTTTTAATTGGCAACGAGCGCTTGAGCTTGGCTTACAACAGAAACTTAAGTCGGCTTTCAGGCTGAATTTAATTTTAGGCATGTTACACTCTTACAATTTAAACTGTTCAAATTGTATTTTTCCCTGGTAATAACAGAAAGTTCTCTTTTAAGGGATTTGAGATCACAACACCAATTTATTCTCCAGGGACAGCCCGTTCTGGGTGCGTGAGTGTGGCCTAAGAGTGGCCTAAGTACATGATTCGATGGTCTTGCGACTGCAATAGGGGATGCAAACTAAATGAAACAACCTTATACATTGAGTTCTGAATTAAACTGTTTTATTCTTTTAAACATTGTTTCCAAGATTCTTACTCTAGTCTTATCTATGGCCTACGCAGACCGCATCTGTTTGCTTAAGCGGAAGACTTATCTTTTGTCCCCCGCACAGGAGCCCTTGGTGCAGTGTGAGGGGCACATCTTAAGCGATGATATGTTAGCTCAAGTGACCTGCACTTACAGATTACTAGTGCTATGAACTGCACCCTTGTTTTGTTTTAAGTAACAGTTCTTAAATTATGGCTCAAAGAGAGCTCATATAATAATACTTTATGAATATTTGTGTTCTTCTGAACATTCTGCCAAGGGATGGCAAGATAAGGTGTATTGAACATTAATTACATATATGATATACATATTTATTTTGTTAGCATTGCATTGAATGTATCTTTATTTATCGATTTATTTTATTTTGCAGCTAAGTTATGGATTGTAGCGTGTAACGTTCGACTAAAGTGCAAAGTACTTTAATGTTTTCAAGGATCTGTATTGGCTGCGCACGCTAAATATTCCGGCTCTAGCTCGTCGGCTTGGGGGGTGGAGGTATTGCTCGTACAGATCTTCACACTGTCTACGTATTACAATTAATAAAATCAGAATTGAGCGTGCATGCGACAAAATCAGAAGCTAGATACTTAACCGGAAGAAAAGATGCATAAATTAGAAAAGAAAAGTTTTGAGAAATTATTGAAAGGAGATAGTGTAAAAGAAACAGAGAGAAATTTGTTGTTTGCGACGCCGTAGAGCCAAATTACGCTCGCATATTGCCCACCCTACCTATGACCACCTGCCGCTAGAGCATAACTCTGGTGATCCCTTTTATACCCTACGACCGCAGAGACATCAGCTGAGTTCAGTTATTTAGATTTTTTTTTTAAGCTTCCATTTTAATATTTAATTCAATTGCAAGTAACATATTTAAGTTTTCTTAGATAATTTACGAAAGGGACAACAATTTCGGCGAGAGAAGATAAAATATAATACGCGTAAATTCTCATGGGTAAATACTGGGCTTCACAGGTGTATATAATTATTAATGTACAGTACATATGTATAGTAAAAATAGTTAAAAATAATTATAGGGTATATTAAACAAAATGATCTTTAAAAATAAATAACTAGTTATATGTTCAAGGAAATTCAATAATTTGTTCTTTCATGATTATTAATACTCATTCTTAATTCATCATTCATCAGTGGTTCGCTAGTTAATTACTTTTAATTTTATTTAAAACTAATTATTTTTTCTTTTTAAAGGAAAAAAAATGCTCAGTGTAAATTCATTTTTTTTTTTTGGTTTAATTCATTTTTTTTCATAGTTAATTTTAGAAGTAATGGATTTCTTAAATTTTCGGCATTGATATATATATGTATATTTTTTTTTGTTTATGAGAATATAATTGGCACAGATATTTTGGTTTTTTTTTATAATTCAAAATAAAGGTAAAACAACTCACACAGCGGGTTCCTCGGCGGACGATTGATCTTCCGACGCAGGCAGGCTGGAAAAGAAATCAAGGCATTTCTGCTTTGACATGGTTATTATTTTATATAATAAAATAATATAATATAATATATATTATATTATATGTGCACTTATAATCATTTCATAATTTTTTTTTTTTTTTTTTTACAAAACGAATTTAAGAAAACTTTTGCAGGGAGATAGGAACCGTAAATTAACCGCGCACTAGATGAATCATAACTTAATTTAAATCTTATAATTATTTAATTAAATTAAATTTTTTCCATAACAAAATTATTGTCACTTCAATATTCAATCGCATTCTTTTAATACATTTTTTTTTCTTTGATTTACGTTAGCACATGTTAAGGAATTTTTTTCCAGTGTAGCCTGGTTGGCGGATATGCACGTGAACATTTTTCGCAAGCTGGATTTTTTTTAGGTTACAAATGAGGTTAAGATCGAGCCCAAGCGTAGTTTTTACATTGTTTTTTTTTTAAATTTGAATTTGGGTTAGGGCCGATCTAATTGGACATTTTTTTTTCCTAGCCTATAGGCTTATTTGGCCGAGATAATTTCTCGTTAAATTAAGTGAGAGAGTGCTCCCTGCTCTTGCTGATCACTGAACAAAATTGGGGTGCTCCCTGTTTCAACTGCTAATCACTTAACAAAATTTGGGGTGCTCCCTAAGGCACTGCGGTTCGCTGGCAAAGGCGGGTGCTCCTCAGGGCGGATCCGAATCGCTGGCCAACGGTGGTGCTCCTCCGGGCGGATCCGAATCGCTGGGCAGCGGGGGTGCTCCTTTGGGCGGATCCGAATTGCTGGGCAGCCTGGGTGCTCCACAGGGCAGATCCGGATCGCTGGGCAGCGTGGGTGCTCCACAGGGCAGATTTGGACTGCCGGCCGATGTGAGTGCTCCCTGGAACGCTGGCGAAAGTTAACGGGGCCCATTGCACATGCGCTTGTGCTGGTACGCCGTGGCGGCGGTGGCTGCCGTATCGGGAAATGTAAAATTTCAGCCTTTTAAAAGAAATCGAAAATTCAGCTTGAAATCGAAATTTCGCTTGAATTATTCGCGGGAAAAATACCGCGTGTATACATTTTTTTTCACCACTTTGCCAAATGGGAACGAATATAATTACACACGTCTGACTGCCACGCCGGTTTAATTAAGAAGGAAGTTAAAAAATCAGGCGGCGTCGGTTGCGGCCTTTTCTAGAAATTTCTGCCAGCTGAGAAATCCGCCATTACGGCTTAGGACAAGCTTCTCAGCAACAGCTGATTGTAGAACTATCTGGCATCACCCGCAAAAATACTAATTAGTATTTTTTTTGCTAAACACTAATTTCCGACACTAAATTTGGCTAGGCATCTGGCTACTCTCTAAAGGTCGCTAAATACAAAAATAATCGCCAGTTTTCAAGCCAAAACAAACAAACGTTCTTCAGGCGCCGCTACAGGATTTAACACCTTTGCAAACGGCCAAAATTCATTGACTTTTTTCATATTAAATAATGTTCTTACAATATGTTTGATATCGATCATACCGTTAGGTATGGCTGTTGGCAATTGTAATTATAATAATATAAATAATATAAACATATACAGCTATATTTTATAAGAAAAATAAATGTACGAATATGTCTGTCCAGTTTGAAGAAAATTAACATGAAATTGAACCCATTGAATCAAAATTTCAGATTAATAAAATATTTTTTAATTCGAACACAATTTATGTTTGGCGTATGTCATAACCATTCAAAGAAACAAGGGCTAACAATAACTTCCGGAGTTGTTGTTATTGGTGATATTATTTTTGCAAATGGTCAAACACGTGGTATGGAAAAACGGAATAAAGATTGCTATTCGAACTCTGCTTTTCAGTGCCAAATAAATTTTACGTTTATTAGGGATACAGTGCTAAGCGATCAAAATAATAATATTTTAATGGCAGCATTTTTTAATAACACTAACCCTTTATTGAGTGGAATAAATATAGATATTTTTGATTTACGGTCAAAAATGTTTGATAATATTGAACAACAAGATAGTGGAGATTTCCGTCGACATCTTCTGAGGAGTTGAATAACTTCCCAAAAGTTAAAAAGCAAGCAGAATAAACGAATGCAAGCAGTGGCTTACCAGTTACCAGTTACGCGGTGAATTCGCCCTTAGTAACGGTAGTGCGGGGAGAGAGTGGTGCCCTGAGCACCAGACAATGACAGGGAGAGTCAGAGAGAGGCGGCAATTAAAGGGAACATCGAAGGGCCGTGTTCAGAAGGAAGTAACGGGACGGCACCGGACTTCGGACTTCTGATATTGGTGCCGTGCACAGAGGGCAAAAAAATAGAGTCCTTCGACAAGGAACCGTGCCTGCCTACAATGACTGCATTGGCGAAATCCGGCGTTTGCCTGATCGGTCTGGAAGAATTGTACAAGGCCCTGGTGCGACTAGCCCGGAAGGTCGCGCGTTTCTTCAGCTAGTGTCTCGAAAGACGTATGCGTTAAGAGCACAGCAGTTAATCCGCTAGAGTCCCAGAACGGCAGCTTACCAAATCGCGAGCGCTACGCCAACAAGGAGCGGAGCCAGTCAACATATCCGTAGCAAGGACAACGAGGACACCAAGGACGACGAACAACAAGCGACTTTCGAGCAGCATATACGTCGAATTCTAAAGTCTGCGGGAGAGAGGGTAGGCTTCTGAGCTAGCCGCACGATATTTGCAGCGATCAGATAAATCAAGAAAATAAGTTCGTTACAATCTATCTTTCTTTGCAACAAATTAAACAACTTTTTAAGCATAAGCATGTAGAAATTTTTAAATGCTCCAACTGCGATTATATTTCTAATAGAGGTGTAATAAAAATCGTGATTGCTCAACCTTATATTCCTAAGAATGAAAAAATACAATAAATTAATTTACATACATTAATTATGGTGCTTGGCAAAATATTAAAAACAGGGTGTTTGAACATTGCAGAAGTCCTGTCAATATCAAAATGTTCTTAGCCCCGTAAAAGCAAAGAGCTGTACATAATTTTTTATGAGAAATAAGATTATGGATTTCGCATACAATTTTTAAAATTTTTGTTTGGCGAAAATCCCAATACTACCCTCCCCGAGGGTGCTGACTGGTAATAACGCTACAATGCCTGATTTCAGGTGGCGTTTAGCTAAGAACTGTGTGCTTTGGGATTTTTATTCACATAGTTATATGGAAAAGACTCTGGGTTATGGCATCGGGGTACTACAACAGTAGTTACAAAAAAACCGAAACATTGTTTTTAAGATTCTTATTCTAGTCTTGTCTATAGCCAACGCAGAGACCGCATCTGTTTGCCTGAGCGGGAGACTTATCTTTTGTCCCCGCACAGGGGGAGCAGGTTGTGAGACACATCTTAGGCGATAATATTGGGCACCTCAAGTGGCCTGCACTTACAGATTACAAGTGCTAAGAGCTGCACCCATGTCTCGTTTTGAGTAACAGTTCGTAAATTATGGCTCTAGATATATCAACATGACATACCCAGACCTCATAAAATCTTGCAGCTTATGACTATTTGTGTTCTTCTGAACAGTACGTAAGTAAAAGGTGAAAGTTTATTACGAGTTTTCATTAACAAAGAGTGATTGCAGTAGGGACGGATTTATTTGGCGAACATAACTATGTTAAGCTAAGGGGCGAGACACAAGGCAAATTCGCAAGAGCGAATGATAGCTTAATTGTCTCCCGCTCTCGTCTTACAACTAGAAATTTCAAATAAAACCGCCAAGTGCGCAAACACCGCCTCCTCTGAAGTGACGACGTTCTTCAAGCAGCACGGACAAAGGGGTCAGCCGATGGACAGCTCGTCGGTATACTCCTTCCTGCGTCCGCCACCCGAACCTATTTATCTGCTACCACTCGCCTGATCCTCCACTGCTTTTCTGCATCTTTTTCTAATTCCTTTGACTACTTCAGCCGGAATTTCAAAATGTCGATTTACATTAATTTCTGTGTCGAGCAAGAACAGAGGACCACCGAACCCAACGGACGTTGTTAACTAATCAATGTCACATCCACGAGACACAATGTCTGCTAAGTAAACTACCTTGGGAACATGTATCCAAATTGCGTTCACCGACCATTCCTGAATCTCTTGACACAAAATCCAGCAACGAAGGATGGGTTTTGATAAACGGGATAATTTAGCAACGGCCTGACACGAATATAAAGATCTGCTAAAATTTGAGCCTCGCACAGCTAAAGGCGAGGCAAAGTCTTGAGGCGAGCTACTTTTCATTTAGCGGTCAATAAAAACACCTATAAACCTCCAGCAGTTTGAGTATATGCTCGCATGGAAGCGTCAGCGAAGCCATTTTATTAAATCGGAACTTGCGGATCGGTGTTGACGAAGGTATCCTACGTTTCGGAAGCTGCAGAAGCGTTGCTTTAAAAGTCTTCCACGTATTGGAATACACGCACTGCCACTGGCCCTGCAATCACCGACAAAACATTTCGTCATCCAACCGAAATTGAAAGTAATTTTTAACTGGAAACCAAACCACGCCAAGGGTCTGAGCCTGCCGTAAGTGGCTGACAGCGCTTTCAGCTGCGGATAACTCTTGGCAGTTTGAAAACCATTTTGCCAGTGTAAATCCAGCCTCTTGCAAAACCTGAGAAACTTCGTCTCGATGGCCCTGCAGGTCCTAATCGCGTCCGGCGCCAGTCGACAAACTGTCAACATAAAAATCTTTCTGAATAACCTTTGTAGCATGCGCCATTTCTCTTAGCCGCATTAAACACCTAATCGGCAAGGAGAGTTCTGAAGTTTCGGTCAGTTTCGACCACCAACACTTGGCGATACATGTTTTACGTCTGCCGCAGGGCAAACTTATGCAATCTAAGCCGAATCAGTGTCGAATACAGCTTAACGACGTATTTCTCGGGGTCTCCTTCAAATGTTACCAATTCCTTTACACAATCCGGTATGACTGATGATTCCTTAAGCTCGTATTCAGTGCGTGGGTGCGTTAGCGGTATTTCCGCCACCAGGTTACGTTTCTCGAAATCGGATTCGAGAGTACCTATTCTATTCCCTACTTTCTTAGCCTCGTTCTTCATCTCTACCATTTGGGCAGTCAAGATTGTCATGGAGGCATCAAGGCGTTTCAATACTTCTTTCATTTCCTCAATTTTTTATTTTCTGATTTTTGCTAAATAAAAAAAAAAAAATTTCTTTGGTCAGGCCGTATATTTTATTTTGAAAGGATAGAGTGAAAAAATTTAAATGTAGATGGGCCTAACGGGTAACAATTTGTCTCCTTATTATTTTTTCTATTTTTTTATTTAGGGGAAATTGTTTTATTTAAACGTTTCACTCACCCGTTGGTTCCTTTTCGCTTCGCAAAGATTCTGTGGGTTTTTTTTTTTTGATTTGTGTGTGTTTTTAGCCGTTTTCTTGTAGTCTTGTGGTGTTCTTACAGAGTTCTGAAATTAAATATTTTATTAATATTTTGTTTTCGATTAGTGAAAAATTCGTATAGTTTTGTAAGATTTTTTCCTTTTGAGGCGTTGTGCGATAATACTTGTGTGAGTTTTTCTTGGTGCGGTTATTGGGTACTGGGCACGGTGGTCTGTATTTGTCCGCTTTGGCGTTTCGCCTTACAAGGTACGGTTGCCACACAATCTACTGGGCAGACCTATTTGAATGCATTCCACATTCGTGAGCCTTTCCAGCAGATTGCCACACACCACTTTTTTTATTTTATTATTTTGGTTTTATTATCACCTTCGGCTTTTCCCTAGTTTGAATCCAAAAACAACATTAAAAAAGAATTGGAAAAAAATGTTCCCAATTATTTTCCAGTGCTAACTCCTATTTCAGACTAAAATAATTATTTTTATTATATTTATTTGTTGCCAAAGCTTTTTCTTCTCTATTAATAATGCAATTTTTACGCTCGCGATTAAGCTACTCACTTGAGTGGACTTAACGCCGCAGCGGGTTATTGCTTCTTTTGTTTTATACACTGTTTTTTTTGTGCCGCGAATACGCCACACTTAGAGGTGCGTGAACATATCGCCGCGGCAGGTTCACTGTTTTATTGTTCTATAACAACGTTTTTTGGGCCCGCCAGCTGCGAAAGGCAGCATCCCCACCGCGGCGGGTAGTTGTATTACACACATTTTTATGCACTCTCACACACATAACGCCGTATTA